AGCCGACAGCACCGCACCCACCACGCACGACCAGAAGCCGTCCATAACAGACCCTCTATGTGCCTCACCCCTTCCCAGCTCTTGCGTCTCCTCCCCTCCGCCCCCCGTCCACCCCTTCCCCCTCTCCACCTGCACTATCTGCCTCACCGTCTCTCCCACACACGCCACCACCGCTCCCAGCCAGGCACTCCCGCCCTTCCTCTCACCCGCTGCCACCCCACCCCGTCCACCCTCGCCCTTTCCACCGGTGCCCTCTGTCTTTTCTGGGTCGTGCGAATCCGAGCCTGGGTCCAAACCTGTGTGCCTAGGCTCGGGAAGAAGGTCCAGATAACATAAATCCCACAACACCACTTTCACTAATTCCGCAGCAGATGTTGTTACCTTTCCTTCTCTCCCACCTTCCCTCTGCTCCCCTTCCCCAACCTCCTCCTCCTCCTCCCCCACTGCCCTCCTCTCCTCATCTCGCCTCAGCTGCACCACGCTCAGCACAAGACACTCCCTCACACACGTCAGCAGCGCCAGCCAATCAGGTCGCGCCATGTGGACAAGCCGTCCCATCCAAAGACTCGTGAAAAATGGCACCAGCACGCCCTGTGATTGGTGCAGCCTGGCTCGGAAGAACACCGAAAGCAGCGGCAGCAGGCACGGGTACGACTGCTCTGCGGAGCCTAAACACCCGGCTCGGAGAAAACCCCAGAGCTTCGGCAGGGCAGATTTAAGAAAGGAAGGGTTGGCCCAGAGGGAGGGGCAGGTGCGCGAGGCCACTAGCACGAGCTCCCACATGGCGCCATGGCATGCTGATACCTTCTCCCCCATGGCTGCTGCCACCACTGGCCCCACCTTCTCCACCACCTCTGCCTCCCCCATCACCTCCACTTCACCCCCTCGTGTCCTCTCTCCGCCTCCCCCTCCCGCTCCCCCTTCTCCTCGGTTCTCTCCTCCCTCGCTGCTCGCTCCCTCCCCCTCCTGCCCCTGCGGGCCCAATGAGAGCAGGACAGCTGGCAGCGCGTGGTAGGCCGCGGAGCGCACTCGGGGGGAGGGGTGTTTGGCGAGGGCGCGGAGGAAGGAGAGGGCGCGCAGGGAGGAGAGCAGGGATGCCGCCATGCGCGGCTGGGCTGCCACCACAGACGGGGGCAGTGCTGCTGGGGCCCCTGCCGCTGCCGCTGCTGCTGTCCCCCCTGCGGCTGCACCGCCAGCAGCAGCCCCTCTGTGTGGTGGTGGTGGCAGCAGGGTCTGCAGGAAAGCCCTCAGCGCCAGCAGGGCTGCGCACAGCAGCTGCAGGTGGGGGGGTGGGGGGAGAGGAGAATGGGGACAGGCGCGGATGGGAGGAAATGGAGGAAGGTGGAAGGGGATGGATGTATGTGGATGAACAGGTGGTGGAAATATTCGACGGTAAGATGAATGAAAGGCAGGTCCGCACCTCACAACAGGCATCGCTCGCCTCTCCTCCCAGCTCCTCTCTTCTACCCCTCTCCTTTCCCCCCTTACATTCCGTCCTTCCCCTCCCGCCCCTCCCACCCTCCCTGCATCGCACCTCGTCCAGGCGGTGTTTAGCCTCCTCAACGCTCAGGCTACGGTCAGCAGCAGCCAGCGACTGGGGAGTGGCTGCCAGCAGCTCTACCAGGGCGGGCACCACCGCCTCCCACGCGAATGCCAGGGCTTCCACGCGCCGTGTGGGCGTGGGGAAGGCTGTCTGGAAGGGGTTGGTTTCGGGTGGGGGGGAGGATGAGGGGGGCATATGGGTGATAGAGTGGGCGCGCGGGTGGCAGAGCAGGTGACGAGGGCGAGGGCAAGTGGTTCGTGCACCGCCGTATCATGCCAGCACTGTTGTGTGCTGCACTCGCACTTCCCAGCGCCCCCTAGCACTCCCCACCACTGCCCCTGCTCGCTCTGCCAGTGCATGGGTAACGAAGCTGGTGAGCCATGTGACGCACCTGGAATGAGAGGGTGGCGGCAGCAGCGACGTCCCGCGAGGAGTCAAACTGCGCCACCCACCACGGCCCCATCAACTGCTTCAGGTGTGGCGCCAGGCCCTTGCTGCCATGGGAACGAGAGACGGAAAGGCAGGGATGATGTTTGAGCGAGTGAACATCTATCTGGAAGGAGAGAATAGAGGCAGCAGCGACGTCACGGGGGAGTGAGTCGTGGTGCATGTGACGCATCAACTCAAAGCATATTGGCATTCCAAACTGCTCTGTCTACCACAGCAACTCACCCCACGCCCTGGACGAGCAGGGTCATGGTGGCGTGTGTGGCGAGACGCACGGCCCTGCTGCCGTCATGCACCAGCCGCCGGTACTCAAACGCCTGTCGGCAGGTGGGAAGCGGGTAGGGGAGGAGAAGAGGAGAGACGAGGGGAATGGACAAGGAGGAAGGCGGTAGCAGCGAGAGAAGGGTAGGATGCATGATGCATAGCAAGCTGAATGGCATTCCATCCACCAATGCTGGCATATGGAACGGTGTGGCGTGGCATGGCATGGAGCAGCAAATCACAACAGAGCATGGCATCAAACGGCATAGGACAGCAAGGGGCAACAGAATATCATGTCTCACCCACGCAGGCAGCATGGCTTGCATCTGGGCGGCACTGCTGCCGCCCAGCACCCCCTGAAGCGCCTCCAGAGCCTTCAGCTGAGAGAGGGATCACGGAGGGGCGTGGAGGGACGGGAGGCAGAGTGGGAGGAGAGGTGTGAGAAAGGGGAGTGGCGTTGGTGAGATGGGGAAGTGCAGAGGCGACAGGCTTGCAAGGTGAGCAGCGAGGGGAGGGCGCACCATGAGAGTGCACACATGTAAGTGCGTGTGAAGCAGCCACTCTCCTCTGCGTGTGCATGCATGATAGCGCCACTGCATGCATGATAGCGCCACTGCATGCATGATAGCGCCACTGCATGCATGATAGCGCCACTGCATGCATGATAGCGCCACTGCATGCATGATAGCGCCACTGCATGCACTCATTAGCCCAAGCGTGCAAAACCTCACCGCCCGCCCACCCACTCCCACCCCAAGCGCGCTTCTCCTGCGCCGCCCACCTGGCAGCTGCCCCTCACCTTGGTGGTGGCGTCTTTCTTCGCCACTCACCTTGGTGGTGGCGTCTTTCACTCACCTTGGTGGTGGCGTCTTTCACTCACCTTGGTGGTGGCGTCTTTCACTCACCTTGGTGGTGGCGTCTTTCACTCACCTTGGTGGTGGCGTCTTTCACTCACCTTGGTGGTGGCGTCTTTCACCCACCTTGGTGGTGGCGTCTTTCACTCACCTTGGTGGTGGCGTCTTTCACTCACCTTGGTGGTGGCGTCTTTCACTCACCTTGGTGGTGGCGTCTTTCACTCACCTTGGTGGTGGCGTCTTTCTTCGCCAGCCGCCTCAGATGCGAAGCAGCCTCACCGCCCACGTCCTGCTCATCACCGCACAGCACGCAGGCCGGAGTGGGGAGAGGTGATACGTGGTGGGGAGTGGTGGAGGGGAAGAGGCAAAGCGGTTTACAGTGGTGATACGGTGGCTTGTGGTGCATGCAGGCTGTGCACGCAGCGCTGCAAGCCCCCTCTTCTCCCTGCTCTCTCCCTCCCCCCCCAGCACTCACCGCCCCAATCACCAGCTCCTTTGGCCCGCTGCCTGCAGAAGCCTCCGCTGCTCCCCCCTGCCCCTCTCGCCCTCCGTCTGCCCCGCCTTCCGCACTCTCCCTTCCCCCCGCAGCCCCCCCCGCAGCTGTTGTCTGCACGCGCGCACTGCCCACGTATCCCCCGAACCCCACTGGGCGGGGGGCGCTTCCAGCTCCGCCTGCCGCGCTGCCTGCGCCCGCTGCCAGCAGCGAGGCGGCCAGGCTGCGGAAGATATGGGGGAAGAGGGGGGACGGGGGTTGGGGGAGAGGGGATGGTGAATGAGGAGGGGGAGGGGGTATGAGGGAATTGCGGAAGCAGCAGCGGCGCCAAGGATGGCATGAGGAGGGCGCTGGGAGGGTCGCCGCCGGCGTGTGAATGGGCAGCGGACGGGAGGGTGGGGTGAAAGGGCAGCGGGGAGAGAAGTGTGTGAAAAAGGGGGCAGGAGGGGGGAGGAGAGAGGGAGGGGGGAGAAGGGCGGATGGCGTCGTCGTTTCAGGCGTTCCGTTCTGCTTGCCCCGGAATGAGAATCGGAGATCCGCGACGCGGTATGAAATACGACGATCACTGTGTGGATCCAGGCTGCACGGAATCACACCGAGCAAACACGCAACCACGCCGGCCGAAACTTCCTGATTTCAAACGCCCACACTGGGGCCTGGCAAGCCGCAGAGACATCGGAACACGTGGCAACCATCTCGATTCACTACGCGCGTTTCGGGCCATCGTCCATGGCCCTTACTGAAGTGAAAGCACGCGCACACAGCCTCCTTGGTTTCTAGCGCAACCTGCACCCAACGGTGCTCTCGTGACACACGCACCCGCACTAGCTGAGGTTGCGGCGCACCTGCTGCTGGCTGGTCGATTCTTGGATCGCGCCGCATCGCCGCCCTTCTGCCGCCCCATCGGGATCGCTCACGAGGAACCTCCCTTCTTGACGGGAGAGCACACGAATCAGACGGCGAAGTGGATTGCGGAAACGGAATCTGTCGGGATATCTCTCAGGTGAGTCCTGCGAAGGCTCACGAAGGTGTCGCAAAACTAAACTCGGCAGCAAATCCAGCAGTGAATTCCTAATGGCAGAAAGATCAGATGGGTTGGAGAGTGGGTGTGATCGAAAAGGAACTGTGAAATGCATGATTGGCTTCTGGAACTTCAGGGTTCGTATGCATATCGAGGCAATTGTATATCGAATATCGTCTGAATTGACGGTTCATTTTCGCAGGTACGCTTCATTGGTTGAGCAGGATCCTCTGCAATTGGAGTCGTTCTCTCGCAACCACTTTGAACCGCACAACTAACAGTTTTCACCGTACATCACGCGTCCAAAAAGCGGGTTCAATCACTTTCCTGTTTCCGCCACCGTTGCTACTCGGCACCCGCTAGGCCAGCTAAACCGGCGCGATGGCCGGCGTGCAGGGCGGCGAGGGCGACGACGACGAGTTTTTCAAGAGCGTCTACGCCAAGGGCTACACAGCGCCCGCGCAGGCGCACGCGGCGGTCAAGGCGGAGAAGCGGAAGGGCGGGGACGACGCGGAGGTCGGCAGGCAGCGCGAGGATGCGGGGACGGACGTACCGACAGATTTCGGCGGGAAGTACAGCAAGGCGTGGGAGGCGAAGGCGAAGGCGGCGGAGCGCAACTGGAAGAAGCGGCGCGAAGACGACCTCACGTGCAAGATCTGCGGAGAGGCGGGGCACCCCACTCAGGTGCGCTGAGGCGGAGCTGCGCAGGGAACCAGGGGGATAGAGGGGGAGGGGGGAGTTTGCGGAAGTTCGAAGCGCCGCGGGCCGACATTGATAGGGATCTCGGCGTTTTAAACGCTAGGTTAGATAAGAAGAAGGGTATTCACTGACCAAGGCTGTCGGAAGCGTCGTTAAACGTCGTCATACATCGCTATTATCGCTGCCGCCGCAGGCCCTGGCGAGTCGTCGTGGCGATTAGCCTGAGGCGTAGCGCACTGATAGCATCCGCGCCTCGTTCAAATCCCTAACTTTCCCTTCTTTCACCGCAACTCCCTGATTCACTCCCATCGGATCTTTCTCCCGACTCCTCCTTCAGGGTTGCCCCACCACCCTCGGCGGGGGCGGAGGTGGAGGGTTTGGCGGGGAGGGGGGCGGGCGGGGGGGCGGCGGAAAGCGCCATGCGCCGTCCGCGGCGCACCCGTTCGCAATCAGCATCGGGGTGGCGGACCGGCGCATGCGGTCGCGGATAATCGGCACGGCGGGCATGGTGGTGCAGGGCCTGGAGAAGCAGACCAACTGCCGCATCCAACTCGAAGACGATCTCGCCGTCGGCGACGGCGCGTTTATCGTTAAGATCTCCGCGACCGATCGCGACACGCTGGCAGCGGGGGAGAGCGTGGTGCGCGGGTATATTGACCAGCTTCAGTTGGATAGTTTGCGGAAGGGCGGCGGGATTCTGGGCGGGCCGGCGGCGGTGCAGATGGCGCTTGCGGCGCTGGCGCACGACCCCGCGCAGCAGCAGCTGCAGCAGCAGCAGCGCATGTGGGCGGCGGCGTCCGCGGAAGCGGCGGGGGAGGCGGAGATGGTGATAGGGGGGGAGGCGGAGATGGTGATAGGGGGGGAGGCGGAGGACGCGACGCTGAGGCTGATCGCGGCGCAGCTGGAGGCGCAGCGGCAGGCGGGAGGGGCGATGGTGGGCGCAACGGGAATGGCGGCGGATGGGCCGGCGCTGGTCGCAATGGGGCCCATGGGGGGAATGGGCGCGATTGGCCAGATGGGGCCGATGGGGCCGATGGGACCGATGGGAGCGATGCTGCCTGGGGGCCCGGTGGGCGCGTATGGGGGACAGGTAGAACCGAGTGGTATGGGTGGTGCAGGTGAGTGCATGGACATGGCTTGGCCTTGCCCATGCTCACAGCGGTAGTTCTAACAATAGGCGTGGTGTTCTGTACACCCCAATTCTCCGATGGACTATTTTCTGGTCAATCTAGCCGTCCGGTTCTATAATTTCCACGACTTCCCCTTTCCTTTTTGCTCTGCTCATCCCCTGCGCGCTCCCACTTCTGCCCCCGCCCGTGCACCCGTCCCCCCCCCCCGCCAGGCATGCCGATGCTGCAGCTGCCACCGCAGGGGCCGCTGCCAGCGTCGGTGGAGGAGCTAGAGGCGGTGGTGGCGGCGGAGACGAGCGCGCTGCAGCAGGCGCAGGCCAGGGAGGAGAAGGAGGAGACGGACCGCCACACTCTGGTGCGCGCGCGGCTGCAGGGGAGGGGACGGGGAAGTAGTGGGTAGAAATGGGAAGTTTGGAAACGGAGAGGGGGAAGGGCTTGTGTGGAGGGGTATATAATGGTGCAGATGGTAGGTTGAGGTTGTGTCATGTGTTTGACCCTGAAGTTGCAGGTCCAGTACTCTCTTAACTGCGCATGCCTCCTCATCTTCTCTCTGCCCGACGATTCCCCCTCTCTGCGCGTCCCCCCCCACCAGCGCATGGAGGAGATCCGCGGGCGGTTCACAGCGCTGGCGTCGAGCCTCTCCTCCCGCCAGGCGCAGCAGCGCGCCCAGGTGTACCTCAAGCTCAGCCAGCAGCACCCCCACCAGTTCCAACCTCCCCCCGCCCAACCCCGACCCCCGCTGCAGCCGCAGCTTCAGCCCCGTCCCCAGCAGCCTCGTCCCCAGCAGCAACAGCCCCAACCGCAGCAGCCCCAGCACCAGCAGCCCCAGCACCAGGCGCCGCCTCAAGCTCAGAGTGAGCCTCAGGGGCAGGTGCAGGCTCAGGTGCAGACACAGGCGGTGTCACAAGGTCAGGGTGTCGGTCAGGGAGGCGGGGGGTATGGTTATGAGGGCTATGGGCAGCAGCAGACTGGTACCCAGGGGTGGCAGCAGCACCAGCAGCAGCAGCAGCAGCAGCAGCAGGGAGGGCAGCACGGTTACGAAGGGCAGGGTGGAGCAAACGAGTACAGCCAGACCCCGGGTTATGGTTACAACGCTGCTGCCGGTGGTCCCTCTGCTGGCAACGCATGGAACCAGCCATCACCCAATCCCGGGGCTCATGCCGGTGGGTACTCTGCTCCTGGTGCAGGACCAGTAGGGGGCGCTGCTCCTGGCTACAACTATCAGCAGCAACAGCAGCATCAGCAGCAGCATCAGCAGCAGCAGTACCACCACCAGCAGCAGTATCCCCCTGGTACCAACCCTTCGCCAGGTGCAGGGGCAGGTGGACCAGGAGCGCCAGGTGCTGGGCAGTACCAGTCGTATGAAGCAAATGGTTACCAGCAACCACCTGCCCCGGTTGCAGCCAATGCTGGCTATTATCCTGGTCAGGGGGGAGGGCTGCAAGGTCCAAATGCAGGGCCTCCAGGTACAGGACCCCCTCCAGGAGGCTATTATGGGTCTGGATATTAGTGGTATTTCTGACACCACATCTTTTCATAGTTGGAAGAAGGAGCTGTTTCTGATTGTAGTTACTAATTCTTGTTTGTTTGAAGTTACTACTACCTTTTGCAATCATTGTAAGTTGAGATCCTAACGCGTATACTGGATGTCAAGTCCTGATTGAACCGAATGACCGAGATGTGCTGCTGGGGCAGATTTTCCACCGTGCAGAACTTTCCGTCACCTTGGGAACTTCGACCACTCTGCCCTGGTGGGCCGCACACTCAGGATCTCCCGCTAACCGCGTACAATCAGATGTTGCAAACGTGTGTGCCAATACCGACTTGCCCAACCAAAACTCCCCTCGTCCCCGCAACCACGTCCCATCCCATATAAGCCACCGAACCTAAACCTTGCCCGGGCTTCCCACTTCCGTTGAATTGGATTGGCTCGGAACAACGGTGACCCCGAAGTCTGGCAGAGAAGTCCCGCAAAGCTGCTGTAGTCTCCGCTGGTCATCCTTGGGAATCGGTCCGCATGGAGGACAGCACCGCAGAGGGGAGCTCCTGCAGGGAAGGAAAGCAGCGGTGCGGGGGAAAGGGAGTTTGAATGCCTGGTGGTGGGTCTGCCAAGGCAGGGACGGAAGCATCCCCATTCGCGCGCTGGACACGCAATTATAGGAGTGCGCCGCCGTCCCCCTGAAACTCACCCGCGCGCTATCCGTGAGCGCAAAGGTTGAGAAACGCTCTGCTGGAGGAGCGCCGTGCGCCACCGAAACGGCGGAGACCCACACCTGGCGGCATTCCCGAGGGCGACAGCAGAGCGGACCGGAGCAACCAACCAAACCCAAGGCCAGTCAGAAGCGGCGGCAAAAGTGAGAGTCAGGCGTGCGCAGCACCTGCCATGCCACCCGCCTGACCCACATCACCCGCCTCACCTGCCTCGCTGGTCCCTCCTCCCCAAACTCACCGCGGCTCTCTCCGCTCCGCAACTGGCTGCTCCTCCCTCCCCCCTGCTCCCACCACTCAGTGTAGTGTACTTGGCTCGTCACTCGTGGATAAAACTCTCAGCTGTTTCGTTTCACTCACCATTATCGGTGCATCGTTCATGATTCATGAACACGTTCCTGATCAATGCCCACTAATACCTGGCCAGCTATAATAGCAGCTTTTATCTCACGGTCTGGCTCACCACCACTGGTGCAACATTCACGACCACGTTCTTGAGATCAATCTGCAACAGCTTCGCCACCGGAGTTAGCAGTTTTTACCTGACGCTCTGCCAGCCATACGTCCCTGATCCACTTCCCCCGTTTGTTCCTGCCTAAAGTTCTTGAAACAACAAAATTTGTCGTTTTGAAACGATTTAGCTTTAGAATCTGTTATCCACGCGTCTAACAGCCCACTTCAGGCAGAGTAAACCATGGCATTGCGTCTGTCATTCCGGTTCCCGCGGGCTCGCATTTGGTCGATGCTAGTAATCAACGTATCGTATCTACTCATAGCCACCGGGGTAGTGTACCTGGGATTACTGGTAGTAGGCGGCGGGTCGGAGGCGCGGACGGAGTGGGACACGGGGAACATCGACGCGGTGGATCAGGACATGTTTCGCCGAGCCATGGAGCAGCCCACGCAGACGGATCTCGCCGCCGTGCAGCCCAAGATCGCGTTCCTCTTTCTCGTCAGAGGGCCGCTTCCGCTCGAGCGAGTCTGGCAAAGATTCTTCCAGGTGAGCGCGGTTCTGCTTGTGCGACAATCGCGACAACATCCCTCCCTATCGCACCTTCGTGTTAGCCGCCTATCCGCCTTCGCATATTTTTCTCGTTTTTTCGGATCGTGGTGCGCCTGCGCGTGCCTCTCCGCCTCGTGGCTTCTGCGATCGTCCGGTGGCGGCGATGCTAATGCTCGTGTGCGTGGCATTAAATGCCCGCCTTCAGTCACTGCTCCAGGAGATTGTTGTTTGGACTTCGCATACTCCATTCCACCGGTTTTAAGCTAGGTTCTACTTATGAGGCACGGCACCAAGCGGAGAACCTGTTGCGACGCCATAATCGCGCTATTCCGCTCGCCATTATCTCATTCTGTCCGTGTCTCCGCCTCTCCTCGTACCATCTGTCCCCCAATGTGCGTGCGGCAGGGCCACGAGGGGCGCTACTCCATCTACATCCACGCGTCCACCGCCGACTACGAGTGCGACAAGCACGTCAACTCCTCCGTCTTCCGCGGCCGCCAAATACCCAGCGTTCCTGTAAGTCCGCCCCAGCTCTCGGCTATTCCGCAGGCCCCTCTCTTCGCCGGAGTTCGTCTGCCAGGCGTCCCCACTTCAGTTTCTCCGACCACTTCCTCAGCGTTTCTCGCTTCCAGTAGTGCTCGCGGTGGCGCGTCGTCATCGAACCACTTCACGCGTATCATGTACCGTCTTGCCTTGCCTCGCCCCGTCGTGTTCCTTGCTCCTTCGCGTCCGCCTCCCCTGCCGTCTCTCGCTCGCTCAATCCCCCTCTCCCTCTCTCCTCCCCGCTCACTCTCCGTCCTCTCCGCGCCCCATCCCCCCACTCCCCCTCCAGATCACATGGGGCGGTCCCAACCTCATCCGCGCGGAGCGCCGGCTGCTCGCCGCGGCGCTTGCGGATCCCGCCAACCAGCGCTTCGTGCTGCTGTCGGAGTCGTGAGTGCGGGAAAGGGGTGGAGATTGAAGGGGGTGGAGATGTGCGCCTTGCGGGGGAGGGTGGGGAGGGAGTCGTGGCGAAGTTCTTGCGGGTTGAAATTTATTGCGCGCTCTCGTAGCACGTGTCACCAAGCACACCTCCTCAATGCTTCCCTCCTCGCCTCCCTCCCCCTTCCCGCCGCCCCCTGTTTGTTCTCGCCTACCTCCCCACCCGCCTCGCCGCTGCCCATCGCCGCGGTGCGCGCAGCTGTCTGCCGCTGTTCAACTTCACGCACGTCTTCGACTACCTCATGGCGTCCGACAAGAGCTTCGTTACAAGGTATGCTTCGTTACGAGGTAGCGCACCGTAGCCAGCTTGCGAAAAGACGAGGAAAATCGAAGGAAATACATATTCTTGAAGCAAGTATGTGACAAACAATCTCTCTCTCTTCCCGCCTCACCTCTCTCACCTGCTCTTTCGCTTCTCATCCGCGCTGCTGCTCCCTGCTCCACCCATTTGCCCCTCCGGCTAACCATCTGTCCTCTCCCCTGTCCACCTCGCCTTCCCCATCCTCCTCTCCCCTCCCTTCCCCGTGCGCGCGAGCAGCCATGCGAGCGTGTGGCGGTACCGCAAGGAGATGGCGCCCGTCATCAAGGGCCAGGACTTCAAAAAGGGATCGCAGGTGAGGCGCTGGGGGGCACAGTTGAGGCGCTGGGGGGCACAGTTAAGGCGCTGGGGGGCACAGTTGAGGCGCTGGGGGGCACAGTTGAGGCGCTGGGGGGCACAGGTGAGGCGCTTGGGGGCACAGTTGAGGCGCTTGGGGGCACAGTTGAGGCGCTTGGGGGCACAGTTGAGGCGCTTGGGAGGCGCAGGTGTGGCGCTTGGGCTGTAGGTTTGTTGCTGTGAGCTCCTTTCTGTTTGACCATTTGAGTCGACTCAACAGGCACCTCTGCTGCGGCTCGACTTTGACTATCCTCCCCTGTGGCTTACACCTGTTCCCCTCCCTCCCACCTTCCGTGCGCATGTACGTGTGCAGTGGTTTGCGTTGACGCGAGCGCATGCAGGCAAGGTGGTGGAGGACAGCAAGTTCTACGAGACCTTCGTCAAAACCAACGCTGAGGTGCGCCCATCTGCCCCCATGTGCCTCCCAAATGTTCCCCACTCCCACGTTGCATCATCACCCATTTCGCCTTTGAGCCTCGCCCTTCCCTCCACCCAGACTAGCTTGCTTGCTTACACTCGCATTCTTCCTGCCCTCAATCTCTCCATGCGTGTCTTGCCTGTGTGCTGCTTGCAGATTCCCGACGAGAGCTACATTCAAACCATCCTTGCTGTAAGCACATAAGCCTACTGTCACCCCACACCTCGCACGTTCCTGACTTCCTGTCTTTCTCTGCCAATGAAGTGAGTTGCAACGCGCTTGCCTTCCTCACCATTGCCTGCTGCTCTCTCCCTCCTGCCTGTCCTCTCCGCCGTTCAGATGCTGGACCGGAAAGCGGTGGAGCCGCGCAGTGTGCTGTACGTGCACTGGTTCACGTCCTCATCCAGCCACCCCATGAGTTACAACACAAGTCAAGTCACGAGGGAATTCATCCTCTCCTTGCAAGTAGGTCCCCTCCCCTTTATCTCTTCACTTGCCTGCCTCTCCTCTGCCTTTCGGTTCTGTCTTGGCCGTTTCAACTGATCCGTCCGGTTGCCTTGCTGTGTTGCAGCGGAGTCGATTCCCACCAGCTGAAACAGTGGGCTACCTCAAGCAGTCGCCCTCACGGCCATGCACAGTGGCAGGCCGGCCCACACACTGCTTTCTCTTTGCCAGAAAATTCGACCAAGAAGCGGTGCCGGCCTTCCTTGCGTTGCGCGATATAATTGGCTTCTGATCTCGCCTGACTTTGCCTGCTCGCCCCTGCCTGCTCCTGCCAAGAGGCAAAGGTGGTTGCAGTGCCAACCTGTTCGGTTGGTGGGGCCCATTGATGGTAGACTACTGTAGCCTCTAATGTGTATAGGTAGCTGTAAGAATAATGTTCAAATTTTGAGCAACACACTGCCCACTGAAGCCAGGTTACACACTCAACTCTCCTGGCCTGACCTCGCTCTAACCTGAACAGAACGCGCCCTCTTTGGAAGTGACGGCCCTGTTTTGAAAGATGCATGGTAGAGCAATGCACAACACAACATGAGCAATACTTACTCTAAGGGTCATTTATGCCCCGTACGAGCTGGGTTTGGAGGGCATCAGAGCAGAGAGTATCAAATGGCCGGCAGGCCTGGCACAAACGACAAGCATAAATCATGTAGAGTACATGCTAGCAACAGCCTTTTATGTTCATCCTACGCTCAATCTCAACCATAGCCACTCGGGGAATCACTACTTCGACCTACCGCAGCACCCAAACCGTGAACCAATCTACAGGGCGACAGAAATCCTACATTGCCTTGCCCGCCGCGTCCGCCTTGCTGGCCGCGTCCGCCTTCTTAGGGTCGTCAGCGGGGTAGGTGCCGAAGACCTTGTCCCAGAAGGAGTTGGTGATGCCGAATCCCGCGTTGTACTCCTTGAAGTGGTGCGCCATGTGGTAGCGCCGCAGGAAGCGGATCCACTCGAGCTCGAGCGGCACGCCGAAGTGCACGAAGTAGTGCGTCATGTCGTAGCAGATGTACCCGAAGATGGCTCCCGCGTACACGGGCCACACCAGGAACCCCGGGAACACCACGAAGAACGGCACCGCCACGATCGTGGACAGCGTCGCGAAGAGCACGGGCGGCATGACGAGGCGAAAGCGGTCCTGCGGGTGCTTGTGGTGGCAGCCGTGCAGCAGGTAGTGCAGCGTGTTGGTCCAATAGCCCGTCGTGCGGTAGTGGAATAAGAAGCGGTGTAGACTATACTCCATCAGCGTCCACACCACCAGCCCCAGCGCGAAAAACGGCGCGACGAGCACCTTGGGCGTGCCGGCGAGCGCGGCGCGGTACTCGGCAAAGGCGATAACGGGGAGCCAGACGAGCGGGATCATCCACCAGTGCGTCTGCGTGAAAAACTCCATCCAGTCCGGCCCGAAGAGGCGCGGTCCCGTTCTGCTGATGATGGGTTGGTGCACCCAGTCGTCGTAGTGCTCGCCCAGATACCCCACCTGGAACACCAACGGCTTCGTCAGATCCGGCTTGAACGGACCCGCCTGCTTGCCGGAAGCTCTTCCGGCTGATGAGGGCTGCGATGGTTGCGACATGGCATTAGGAGCCATGTAGCGGCTCCGGGTCTGTCTAGAGTGGGAGTGTAGCAGGCTTTCCTAAGGACGTATCGCTGAAGGATTCACCCGGAAGGATGAGACTAGGTGTACTTAGTTGCTGTGGAGCGGAGATCCCGACGTCAGTCGAGAATCGAGATGGCAGGGTGAACAAAACTCCAGGGTGTGAATCGTGATCTTTATTGTCAGACGGTGGTGATGGAGGGTGTGGGGTAGGAGGGACAGGCGGGAAATATTTGGAGGGAAGGATTCAGGAACGAGTGATGGATTCACGGGCAGCGAAACATAAATTCATTGCGTGACTTCCCAAAACCTGGTGCCCTTTCGTCCAACACTTGTGCCACCTTAGCTGCCCGGCTAAAGCTCCAACTGCTCCTATTCGCTGACCTCGGGCAGGGGTGGCATGGACACGCCTCGCTGGACACAAACTCTTGATTCTGTCAGTAGGACATCGTACAGCACTAGGAAGAATCTCAATAACAGGGATCCACCACACTCCATCCTTAGTTATCTTAAGTACACTTCATACATAGCTTAGATTCGCCCCATGCAGAATAACGTGATAAACAGGGTCTCAGATTTCAGATTATACAACAAGTAGCACTGATATATGTATTTTAAGCAGCCAAAAAATATTATATTTCATGACCAGGTATAGAATTGCAAATATAGGATATCATGGGGTATATGAGATACATTATAGACTAAAAGTTCCTCATTCATCAAGTGTTTAGAAACCAGACACAGTCCTCGATTCATAATATGTGCTTATGTGTTATATACTCACACAATCTGAAGCTGATTGGTCGTGATAGTAAAGCCCTAGGCCTAGCCTAGCAGGGCAGGGAGTTATGGTGGTTGGGTATCTGCCCTGCCCTCACCCAGCCCTCACCCAGCACGAACAAAGTAGTCCTTTTTACAGAGTACTTTTGTTTTTAATTTCCCTGGTTTTTGTTCAAAGTTTTAAACTTCTGTTATGGTCGTATCCAGCAGCAACGCAGAGGCAAGAATGGCCCTAAACTGCCGAAGCCAAAAGGGGCTTAGAATTTCAGCGTTACTTAGCCGGTCCGTAAACACAGGCGTGTCGTTCTTCCCTCTAATACATGTCCAATCTGGGCATAAATGGTATGTGAAGTGCCTCTGACGTGTCGAGGTGCCTTTTGCTACCTTCGAAACTTTCCTACACATCAGACTGTTTTTAACATGCTGGTAACTTCTAATGCACGACTGAATATGAAGGGAAAGTTCCATAAGAATCAGGCAAGTTCAGGCGTTTATCAAAGACAAACCGCGTCGGGGCCCCACAACGCAAACCGTTGCGGGTATTCCCGCGCCTTGGCGCTTCGACGTGGCTCAACAACGTACGTGCTTGTACACAGTGTCACCGTGCCTCTTCCAGGCTCATTGTCCGTTTGCAGCCCTAGCGATTGCCGAACCTATTTCTTGGCATATTTGATCTGAAGCCTAGTTCGGCGACCACTTCAGTGCCTCGCCCACCACCACCGGCTCACCGCCCTCAGCTATCGGGGGGACAAGTATGGCGCGAGAAGGATGGGTGGGCCGAGGCATCCACGGACCACGGGCAGCACCCAGGCGGAACAGCGCCCCAAGCGTGGAGGTGGCAGCGGGCGGAGGCAAGGAAGCGGATCAGTTCGTGTTCTTGGGGGTGGTGTGGTGTGGTTGTCGTCGGGCTTGGCCTGTGGTGTGGTGGTGGTCACTCACAGCCGTGCGAAGGCACCGAAACCTAAACGGGGTGAGTAACAAACAAGAGCAAGAAAGGCGGTGAGGCAGGGCAAGGATGATTCCGGAGGGAAGCAGAGAGCAAAGTGAGGAGGTGGTTGTGAGTTTCTTGCGACTTTGCCCACCATGAGCCAACTCTGTTCCCACATTAGCAACCATCCTGATAAGTTGCACTCCAGCATCAGACCTACCGTGCTTGACGCTCTGCTTGCTTCACAACATTACCACCAATTATAAAGTTGCAGCCAGGCGCCTCCGACGTTAGCCGAGCAGGTTTTTTTTTTTTAAGCGTACCACTTCATTACCTCTGAAGCTAGGTGCATCTGCGTGAGTTTTAACTCATAGTAAGACGCGCAGCAGAGCTTCACATCGACAATCTGCCGGTTCCTAATGGGAGCTTGTGCAGAGCCAGGGCCGTTGGAGCGCGACAGTAGATGTTCGTCCACGCTAAGCCCGCCTTTCCTTAGGTCGCAGCCTCACTCCCACCACTCCTCCAGACACAGCAGCGCCCACCCGCTCACCGCGTCGTCTCACTTCGCGTCGCCGTATGCGTCCGTGCTCTGCGCCATCTCGCTTAGCCCCACCGCCTCGTGGCCGCGCCTCACCATGCGCAACTTCGGACTGCCGCGCCTGTGGCTGCTGCTAACCGTCTTCACCGTCGCGTCGCTCGGGTTCGTCGCCGTCCGGTTGCACCCTACGAAGCCGAGAGTAGCGGCGGTTCCAGCGAGGGCCGCGAGAGTGATGTTGGATCAGACTCGCGAGGGCGTGTGCGGCAACCAAATACGAGACCTTGGCCGCAGCAATGGTGCGATAAGATCGGAATTAGAGTGGCCGTCGTCGTCGACATCCGTGCCGCGACGAGCTCTCGACGAGACCGACAGACCACCACAGTCGTTCCTCGCGTCGCTTACCGCCTCGTCCGCCAAACAACCGCCTTCCGACCAGCCACTCGCCAGTAAACCAGCCGCGACCTGTTCGAAATGCAGGTATGTCGTTTCGACGTCTCTTGCGCGCACGTTTCTCTGTCCGTGTTTCAAGTGTGAATTACTTGAGATTGATTTGAGCAAGCTGTTCGCGCGTTTTTATGTTGTGGAGCGTGTTGCTGTTCCGTCACTTTTTGATTGCCGCAGCTTTGTCGTTTGTGACGCGCTTTTCGGTTCGCGCGGCTCTCGTGTTGCTTCCCCTGCGCCTCTCCTCTTTTTCCCAATTTGCTCCGTTGTTCCGCCCCTCTCCCCATCCCCGCGCGTCCGTCGTCGTCAGAACGCTCAAGGAGGTGCTTGACGGAGCATTAACGGCCGCCGGCGGCGATCCGTCAGCAGCGGCGGCGCTAGCGGCGGCGTTGGAAGAGGAGTACGGCGGGCCCAGCGGGCTGCCCGACCCGGATCGCCCGTTCCCCGAGGCGCCGCAGCAGATGACGGCGGGGGCAGAGGATGGCGGCGACGGCAAGTCGGCCGCCGAGAACGTGGTGGAGGCGTCGGCGGCGTCGTCGCTGTCGCGCACGGTGATCGTGACGGCGCTGTCGGAGGCGTGGGCGCCCATGATGCGCTTCTTCCTCGACCGCCTCCGCCTCGTCGAACAGCAGGGGCGCGCGGAGGGGGAGGCGGAAGCGGAGGGGGGGCTGAACCGGCTGGTGGATCGGCTGGTGGTGGTGGCGTACGACGACGCGAGCTTCGACGAGTGCTGCTCGCTGGGGCTGCACTGCTACTTCGACTGGCAGGACGACGCGGAGGAGAAGGAGGACTTCAGCGGCGACCAGAAGCACTTCATGACGCCCGCCTACATCCACCTCGTGTGGCGCAAGGTGCACGTGGTGCGCAGCATGCTGGCGCTGGGCTACGACGTGGTCTTCACGGACAACGACATTCTCTGGCTGCGCAACCCGCTGCCGCAGCTGCTGCTCGCGGCGCCCGAGGACATGCACATGAGCGTCGACTGGTGGAACGCCGACTCGCGCAAGGTGATGGGCAACGGCGGCTTCTACGCGGCGCGCAGCAACACGCGCATGCTCAAGTTCTTCGACGACTGGATCGCCTGGCACAAGCGGTGAGCGCCCTCGCCCCACTCGCCCCTCCCTGCCGCAATGCTGCCATCTCTCGCGCCTGCCTCCTACTGCCCGCTGCTTCCGCGCCCGCCTCCCCACACCAGCTCTGCTTGGCCCCGCTCTCTCCCACTCCCACTCAAACTATTTCGCCGTTCCCTCCTCCCCCCCCCCTCTCCCGCTCCTCCCTCCCCCTCCCCGTGGCGTGTGCGCGGCAGGCTACCGAAGCACCGCATTCAGCAAATCTTCGACTGGATCCGCCCCGAGGCCAACCCCTTCACGCGCACCGCCACGCCGCTCACCGTGCGCTACCTGCCGACGGCGCACTTCGGCGGGTTCTGCGAGATGGGCGCGCGGATGGCGGAGCTGGTGACGGTGCACGCCACGTGCTGCTTCGGACTCGACTCCAAGCTGCGCGTGCTGCGCAAGGTCGCGGCGGACTGGGACTGGATGCGCGCGCTGCCCCACGACGTGGGCGAGGGCCTGGAGGAGCACGGGTTCGCGTGGCAGAGACGCTCGTGCGCCAAGGACTGATAGCCGCGCGCGCGTCACGGGAAGAAGGCGGGGGTACGCTCTGCCACTCCATTTTATTTATTTTGCAGCCGGCTGACGCTTTGGGGCTGCTGGTCCAGTGAACGGCGCACGAGGCGCTGAGCATTTTGTTTTTCCAACGTAGCAGTTGTGGGGCAAGTCGTGGACGCGCCGTACATGCACCACCCATCCATCATCCGCACATCCATCCATCCTGCCATCTAGCCATCCAGCCGCCAGCCATCCAGCCGCCAGCCACCCAGCCGTGCAGCCGCCCAGCCACCCCAATAGCGCGTGTAGCAGGGTAGAATTGCGTGTGCGGGTGCAGGAGCGGCAGGCGAGCAAGCTAACCCGCTGAGCGCGGAGTGCGAGGCAGCCTCCTCTCGAGACTGCCGGCAGCCCCCCCTGCCGCCCCATGCCCTCTGCAGCATCTTTCCGCTGCCGTCCCTGCATGCACGGGGGGTTGGGAGCCGCTCTGCGGGGCAGCAGCGCATCTGCAGGTGAAGGTGGTGTGGCGGGCAGCAGAGCAGCAGGCACGGGGTGGGCCATGGGGCATGGCTTAGGGCTGAGGGCGTGCGCAGTGCGGCGTGATGGTTGATGGAATAAGGCGTGGCCATGCACAGGCGCATGGCAGGCAGGGGCAGCAGGGACGGTAGGGGGAGCATGAGTGTGGGCCACGTGTGGGGATGGATGGGTGCGAGCACGCTGGTGCAGCAGGGCGCAGGTGGGGTGCAGCAGAGCGGTGTGGGGAAGACAAGGCGTGTGCTTGTGTGGCGAGGCGACTGGCATGCGATGGTGTTGGAGAAGGCGAGTCCACAGTGTGCGCCTCAACTGGTGCTGCACAATGCAGCGCCTCTGACCACGGCACTCCTTCACCTTCCTGCATGCCAAAGGCAGCCGCGGCACTCTGGCTGCTGTAGAAGAGCCGCTGCTTAGTTGGTTGTAGGGTTTGAGTCGTAGGATTGCTGTGCGCTAAAGATTTCTAGGCTATGGGTTTCCCATCCCAGTCATCATATTTATAGCAGTAGAGGGTGAATGCCCCAGACTGTTGACCCAGGCTGTTGCACTTGTGGCTTGTGATGCGAGTTCATCCACTCCTTGGGTTACTGCAGTGCGAACATCTCTAGTTGCGCAAGAGATTTGAGGGTATGTCACACTACGTATTGATTCTCATAATGGTATGAGGAGTACTGTACCTTTTTTCACAATCAAAATGTGATGGATGGATGAACACCAGCTTGGCCAGGGCCGGGGCTTTTCTGTTGCATACGGTATCTTGGTGTGCTATGTTTCTTCATTTTCGCGCTGGAAATAAGCTTAAACCAACCCTCAATGGAAGTTCTCCCAGGTCTTTAGGACGTGTGCCTTTGCTCCACTGTTGTACGATATCAAGAACTACCAAAGCTACCTAGCTGGATTTCTGACTGATGCAGCACAGACCAGTGGGGGCTACAAATTGGCATTCTTTATACTGACTACCCAGGTGGAGGAGGGGTGTACACCAGTGCTCCTGGCGATTGGTTCCTTGTAGCATGTGCTCAGTTCGACTTACCGGTATGCAGTTTTCAGGCTCTAGAAATCGCTAAGCAGAGCCCTATTTGGATTGAACGAACCCTCCATTCTGAGATTGTCTTGTGTCCACCATCGGAGATGAGGTTCATTTACACGGGTATCACATTCCTTCCTAGTGCCCAACACTGTAACCAGTCCGGTCCGGACTGACTGTCTCATCATTGCAACATTGTATGAGCAACCACTGGCTGGGAGAGCAGCGCATGCAGTTAACTACAGCTTCACTAGGATGCTTGATGTTGGAGGAAAGCTTGACCTAGCAGATAAATGAAGGCAGATGCGAGCTGCCATGTGCTTATTCACTCTGGGGAGCAATTCCGCAACGACCACGATTGATGGCAGCTCTTTGACCACACGAGATGGCAGAGGAACAACCTGCTGCCTTGAGAGACGGCAGAGGAACAACCTGCTGCCTTGAGAGACCAGATGCTTCCATGTCCCATGCTCCTGGCTCGTGTCGCTCTCTCCACTGCCCCACGGTGCGGCTCGGCAGGGAGCGCACTGACGCAACTTGTGGGGCGTGAGAGAAACTTGTGGGGGGGCAACAGTGGAACGTAAGGGGCAGTAGTGCAGGTGATGGGTGGTCAGTGGAACTTGTGCGAGGCGATGAGGTTCTTGAGCACGTTGTTGGGCGTCAGACACGTGTGCGGCAGGGGCTGCCCCGTGGCGGGGGAGAGCGAGGAGGAGCCCATCCAGGCGGTGATGTGCTGCCGCTCGTACGTGAAGCCGTCCGCCGCCACCACCGGGTCCTTCATTATCTCCTGCTCCATGCCATGCCCATGCCCATGCCCATGCCCATGCCCATGCCCATGCACGCATGCCCGCATGCCCGCATAACACATACATCCGTACCACACACACCCATGCCCACACAAACACCCATGCACACACCCAATAATGCCCAGAGCACATGGAGACAGACAGGGACATTGACATTGGAACAAGAGACAAGCGTTGCCGACTCCTTCCATCTATGCACATGAACCAGCACACAATCTTGCATCTCACGCACACGCTTTGCCTGCCACTGAACGCCAGATGAACCGTGCGAATACCAATCCAATAAACCTGTGCCCCAGGGGATACGCACCTTGGAGATGGGGCAGATGAACTGCGAGTCGCACCTTGGAGATGGGGCAGATGAACTGCGAGTCGCACCTTGGAGATGGGGCAGATGAACTGCGAGTCGATGCGCTTCTTGCGCCTCCTCTCCTCCGCGCTGGCCTCAGCCGCCACGCGCACGAGCGTGGGGTGGATCTCCTCCGCCAGGTCGGGCCGGTTCTCCCTTCGCCGCTCAGCGCAGCGCAGCGCCAGCGCCGCCACCTGCTCCGCCAGGTCCAGCCGCCAGTCGCCCGCCGCGCTGTCCAGATACCGCAGCACCGTCTCCGCGCCCGCCGCCGCCCGGGGCTGGCCGGGCCTGGCGGGGCGGGAGGTGCAGTCGGCGAGCATGCGGTGAACGGCCTTGACGCTGCGCTGCCCCGTGAGCAGCTGCAGCAGGATGAGCCCCAGCGCGTAGATGTCCGACAGCACGCTGATCTCACACGTCTCCACCTCCTCGGGGTCGATGTACCCCGCCGTGCCGCGCACCTTCATCGTCATCACGTCATCGGCGCACAGCAGGCGCGCCAGCCCCACATCGCCGATCTTGCTCATCATGTGCCCGTCCAGCAGGATGTTGTCGGGCTTTAAGTCGCGGTGCACGATGGGCGGCTCGTTCTGGTGCAGGTACAGCAGCGCCGACGAGATCTCCGAGAAGATTCTCAGCCGGTCCACCCACGAAAGAGGCACGGCGTCGGGCGTCTTTGGCGGGCCGAGCTTGTCCTGTAGCGTGCCGCCCGAGAGGAACTCGTAGATGAGGGCCATCTCTTCAACGCAGCAGCCCATGAGCAGCACGATGTTGGGGTGGCGCATGCGGCTCAGCACCTCCACCTCCATGCGGAACTCGTCCGGCCCCTGCCACCCCTGCCCCTCGAGGCGCTTCACCGCCACCTTGCACCCCAGCATCTCGCCCTTGAACACGTACCCAAACGACCCGCGCCCCAGCAGGTTCTCCCGCGCGTACCCGCGAGTCGCCTTCTCCAGCTGCTTGGGTGTGAACAGCCGGCAGTCAAACCCGTCCCCCCCCGCCCCCAGCCCGCGCAGGTCGATCTGCCCCATGCTGTGCGCGCCCACGTTCTGTGCACTGCTCCCACCGCCCGTGCTGAAGCCCCCGGCGACGGGCGGCAGCAGCGAGGATACGGCGGCGGAGGCGACCTGGCGAGAGGAGGAGAAGCGCGAGGAGAAGCGGTTGTTGGGCGCGCCCCCCACCTGCCCGGGTGGTTCCATCTCCGCCACCACCCTCCCTGCCTCCCCCCCCGCTGCCCCCCCCTGTGCAGCATCTGCGGGCAGCAGCGTGGAGGCGGGTGAGTCGGCGGAGAGCATGGTCTGCGGGCCACTCAGCTGCAGCGCGCGCAGCTGCTGTGAGAGGAAGCGCTGCAGACAGCGCAGTCATGCAGGGAGAGAGAGGGGGAGAGAGGTTGGAGGGAGGTGGGTGAGGCGAACGCAGAGGTTAGTAAATTCGCAGGTTTTGAGAGGTTGTAGAGAAGTAGGAACAGAGAGGTGACATGGAGTGTTTGAAAGCGCTGGTGAGGTGACATGGATGAGGTGACATGGATGAGGTGACATGGATGAGGTGATATGGATGAGGTGACATGGATGAGGTGACATGGATGAGGTGACATGGATGAGGTGACATGGATGAGGTGACATGGATGAGGTGACATGGATGAGGTGATATGGATGAGGTGATATGGATGAGGTGACATGGATGAGGTGACATGGATGAGGTGATATGGATGAGGTGATATGACCGACCTCTGACTTGTTGTCGTTGCCACGTGGGTCCGCACCCGCCTCCGCCGCTCTATTGCTGCTCACGGCTTTGCCTTCCCACCGCTCCTCCCCGCCCCCACCGGCCTCCTCCTCCTCATCCAGCAGCGCCAGCTCGTCCGCCAGCAGCGACCGCATGCCCCCCCCGCCCCCGCCCCCGCCCGCGCCCGCGCCCCCACCCCCACCTGCGCCGCCGTTCCCCTCCATCTCCCTGCCCGCCCCGGCCTCCCCCATCTGCGCGCCCCCCTCACCCCCTTGCCGGCCCGCAGCAGCAGCAGCGCCGTGCGGAGCCACGCAGAAGGCCACGCGGCGCACACCGGGACTGTCACGGCCCGCGTGGACGGGCGTGGCGAGGCGGCCGGTAGACGCGGGGGACGCCGTGGAGAAGGCCAGCGCGGCGGCGGCGGCGGCAGCGGCGGCGGCAGCAGTGTCGAGCGGCATGGCGCTGGCGCTGCTCGACCGCACCGCCTCCCGCAGGCCCCCCTTGCCCACCACGCCGCCCGCTGCGTCCCTGCCCGTCACGCGTGTGGGCGGCAGGCCAGGCTTGTGGCGGGCGGCGTCGGAGAGGCTGCGGTGGTAGTCGTTCTCGTCCCCGGGGAAGGCGGAGGGCAGGTGGGGCGGGGCGGGCGAGGGCAGCAGCGAGTGGTGGTGCGCATGGTGGTGGTGGTGCATGGCGAGAGTCTCCGCAATGGCTGCTGCTGCGACACCGGGGGGGCAGTAGTCAGCAGCGAGGGTGGGTACCTCCATGGAGGAGAGTGCGGAGGCAGCCAGCGACGTGTGCCCCGTGGACGCGTCCACCAGCAGCATGGCCCTCAGACTCGCCAGCCGGTCCTCCTGTTGCCCCATGCCATACCATGCCATGCCATGCCATGCCATGCCATGCCGTGCCGTGCCATGCCATGCCATGCCATGCCATGCCATGCCATGCCATGCCATGCCATGCCATGCCATGCCATGCCATCCCATGCCATGCCATGCCATCCCATGCCATCCCATGCCATCCCATGCCCCACACGTCACATGCCACAATCCCAGGCAGGCGGGAGAAAAGAGGATAGATGGTGAGAGTTGAGGCGCGGAGGCAGGGGAGAAGGCAAGTGGAGCAGGGGCGGATGGGAGAGGGGGAAGGCGAGGGGCGAGCATGGCATCAAGGCGGCGGACACCAAGGGGCCTGGCGCGCCCGCATAGAGGGGGTGCATGCAAGAGGAAAGGGCGGTGGGAGCGGGGAGAGGGGGAGCACCTGGAGGGAGGAGAGCGCGGAGGCGTTGAGGTCCCCTGGGAAGGCGGTGCTGCCGCTGCTGCTGCCCGGCCTGCCTGGCGCCTCACTGCTGCCCTCCACGGACGAGTATATCACTCCCGGCCGCAGCTGCTCCGCCCCCACGCCCACCGCCTTCCCCCCGCCCTCCACACACGACCCAGCTCCCCCACACGCCCCCGCGCACAGGGGTGGCGGCGCATCACACGCGCCCGCTGCAGCGCC